TTAGGGCTGTTGTACATAGGGTCGCTATGAGTTGCAAGCGACTTGACGGCACATAACAAAAACACAACATCCTTAGTATACTGATATATGATATATATATACACACAACAAAAACACAACATCCTTAGTATACTGATATATATATATATTCTGATCAAGTTGTCAGCTTTAAAAGACACAGTGAATTTTTAATTCCATGCTCCTCATCTTCACTCTGCCTTGTAGAAGCCCTAAGATATGACTGTATATTGGGAAGTACCCAAAGCAAGTTATGTGGTTTCTCTAGGACATTCAGAACAGTTATAATTAGACTTCTAGGAAATGACTGGGAGAGAAAAAAATTCCTTTTGGAGCCTTGTTGATGTCATTGTTAGGAAGCTCTGGTAGTGTAGTGGATAAGGAACTGTGCTGCCAACCCAAAGGCAAACAGTTCAAATGCACCAGCTGCTCCAAGGGAGAGAGATGAGTAAGCTCCTCTTGTGTGAATTACAGCCTCTGAAAACCCTCTGGAGGGTCAGCTATGAGTAGGTTCCAACTCAATGGTAATAAAAGAGAGACACAGAGAAAGAGATGCTGGTGCTATTAGATGTCTATAAGTCAGCACACACTGACAGAGACCTTATGAAAACAGAAGGAAACACTACCTGAACCTGCACAAATGTCACAAAGTCTGCTATTGTTGTAGCCACTATGTCAATCCACTGTGGATACAAGAAAAGCAATCCCTAGGATGAACTGTAATTCTTTTCTTTTTCATTACTAAGGCTTTCATAGAGTAAGTAGTACCATCATTCATTTAACAAAAGCTGAGTCTACTAAATGTCATCTCAGTACACACTGAGGACATAAAGCAATTAATACCCGACTCCTTTTAAAAAAGATTTTGAAGAACTACAAAGATAAACAAAATACGACATAGCTGCTGCCCTGAAGAACAAAAACATGTGTGTACTCACTGCCTATTATATGTATGGATTACATTACATTATTTACAAATAAGGACTGAAAGGAAAAAAAATACTACATAGTCCTATAAGACAGATCAACTCTCATTTAGACTGGGGTTGGTGTTTAGTTTCTGGCCAAAAGTAATCAATCACCTGGGATCTAAACTTACCTTTTACTATACTATGGAAGGACATCAGATTAAAGACTAAGGTATACCTGACATAAATCACTAGTATTTGGGAAGAGTGAGGAACTGCAAGTTTTTTAATTATGGTGTTGGTGAAAAGCCTGGAATATACTCTAGAATGTCCAAAGAACAAATAAATCTATCCTGGATGAAGTGCAAAAGGGAACTTCTTAGAGTCAAGGATGGTAAAATTTTGTCTCACATAGCGTGGACACATTTATCAGGAGGTGCTGCTAGTCCTTGGAAAAAGGCAAAATGGTGGAGAAGCAGTTCAGTGAAAGAAAAGAAGACCTTCAAGTGAATGTACTGACAAATGAAACTAACTTGAGCATGGCGGAGCTTGTGAAGATGGTGCTCAACAGGACAAGGTCAGAGTCGCCTTGATGGCACTAACAACAATGTAATATGAAGCCTCCCAGCCAGTCTATGAGTGTAATAGATAAATAATACACATATAAAGAAATATTTTATATGAAAATGGGGAAACAAAGCCTCTAACAAGTGGCTGAAGTAGTAAGAATAAACATTTAGAAGTTCAGAAGAGGAAATGGCAGGAATAAAGCCAAAAAGTGACTTGAGAACAGAGTGTGAGAGGCCTCAAGCAATAAGTGACATCATCCTGGCCATCACCTTACCTCAGAAGTCTTGAGTGAGATCTCCACACACATAGACCTCCCGACAGCAGGAAGCTGCCCTGCCAATGCCTTCTTTGCTTCATGTGTAACTTCTGGGATGTCTTTGATTGCTAAATTGAACTAGAAAACAAAAGAGACTTTGTATCCTAAATAATCACAAGAAACATTATGGAAACATAAAGTAAACATGGTAGGTAATAAGAGTACTGTTGTGATTAACAAGAACTTTTATTTATCTCTCCCTTTCCCATAAGAGATATCTTGAATTAAAGGCCCAATCTCAAGTTAAGTAAAATAATTACCTATTAAAAATATTGTGAACTATTAAAAAGATAGTTAACAAAATAGTGTTTATTTTTTTTTAATTGAAGACCTTAGTTTTTCCATCTATCACACAAGGAATACAAGGACAAAACAAATCCAAGGCTAATACTAGATTTAAAAAAAGGGCTTCCGGAGGAATATTAAAAGAATTTGTTCAAATTTATATTTGAATTTTGTAAATAAACTAGTAAAGAGAAAAAAAAAGCTTCCTAAGAGAATGGATCAAATAATTCAGTAACACTATAAACAGTACTCTGTATTACTCAACTTACGAACTTGAAATTCTTTCCTGAACAGATAAGCCCATATAGTCCTTAGCAAAAGAATAGGATTTTTACCCAATCTGAGCCCGTTGGGGATGAGGAAGAACGAGTACAAATCTTCTCACCAAGCCGAGCCTGGACAATCACTTGAACAGTCTGAAACAAACAAACAAACAAACCAAAGATGAAAAGTTTTGAAAAACTGATTTGGCTTCTGACCTACTGAAGGGCTAAAAAGATGCCAATTAATCCTAATTATACCTCAGGAAAGAGTAGAACTGTAAATACACTAGAACAGATGGGAAAAGAAAAAACACTGTTAAAAAAAAAACAAAAACAAAAACAAAACCAACTCAAAAAACCAAAAAACCACCTTACGTTTTCTGGAGGGTAAAATGCCGACCGATGAGAGGAATTAGCTGAAGCTTGGAATGAGTGTTATCCTCACATGGCATAAGGAAAGCTGCACATGCTAGCTATGACTTTCATAAAGCAACAAGCCCAACTGTGCATTTAAATATGCCACCAACTTATGTAATCATAGTAGATTTAAACTAAGAATTTCCAGTTATTCACATTGCTTGGCCCATATGGCACAAATCTTCCAAATAATTTTATAATCTGTATCATATGGATTGTTCTAGCTTGGCAATGACTTGAGAGGAAGGAGTGGTAGAAGTGAAAATGGTATTATTTTAGATTTGGGAAAGCAGAACTTTTAAAAGCATCATAAATCAGCTTCAATTGCCCACTTACCACAAAGGGAATAAATGAAAAGGTGGACATTTTGGGGTAAGCTGATGCTCAGGGAAAGTTACCCCAAATGCTGACCATTCCAATTTACAGTCGTGCGTTGTTCCCACACTAAGGGAACAAACTGTGCCAATAACCTAGCATAAAAGCTTGACAGTTCTGCAAACAACCTTGTGGGGAAAAAAAATTCTTCATTAAAAAAATTTTAAAAAGTAGCTGTGGGGTTCAAATCCACCAGATGCTCTGCCGGGGAAGGAGGGACAATCTCCTCCTGTACCAGTCAGATCTGATTTGACGGTACACGCACACAAAAATAATAAAAGAAAAGAAAAAAGGAAAAAAAAGTAGCTGTAGAAAATTGGAAGTTGTATTTTAGTTATACCCTCAATACCACCCCCATCTTTCACAGTTTAGTTTACAACAAAGACAGAAGTATGCCCTAAAACTGGCAAGCCTGCAAGCTGTTATGCTACAGTTTCTAAGAGGGTCCTCAAAAGGCAGAAGCATGGAAGTTACTTCTAAGTGTTCTAGGCACAAAAGAATGAATATATTACCTTGAGGGCAAAAAATTTAATGAACTTGTCCAGGTCCTTTCTGTCCTGGGAATTGAGATCAGTTTCCATTGCCTAGAAGAATCTAAAACAGGGGAGAAAAAGATTTCAAAAGTGACTAATGTGAAAGAGGATGCTAAACCAAATTTTATAGAGATATTGGCTACTAGCTGTATGAAGAGTCAAGTGGGAGTGAGAGGAAAAAAAAAATTTCCTAACTAAAGATATCAAAGTGAAAAACAGTAAGATGGGGAAATTTTCTTTTGAAAAAAATAAAATTCAAACAAAGAGCTATATCCAGCAATCTGAAAAATGGATGAGAATAGGACAATTTACCTGAACTTAAACTCTGAGCTTTAAAAAGAACGTTATTTTCTAAAAAATATGCTTTATTATTCAGTATATTGAGGATTAAGGAGTTTTGGGGTTTTTAAAAAAATTAATTTTAATAAACATTTACAGGGATTTTGGATTTCCATTCATTCACTGTTGCATTTTTCTCCCTGCTTACCCCTCTCCCCCAATTTGCTCTTCTCTTTGAAAAGTAAAAGAAAAATTCCTTTATTGGTATATAATCCCCTGCTTCCCCTCATCCCAAGTACACTCCATTATGCAGCCTTCATTCTGGAGTTTTGTCATGACCATAATACCCAATCATATATAGCTTTTAAACTCTTCTCTCCCTCATCTGTTTCAATGCAGTATAAATAATTTATCCAGTTTTTTTGGACTAAGGAGTTTTAATGAGAAAATATTTTACTAAATCAAGATAAAATTACTTAAATTTGTGTTCCTTCAAATGATCACTAAATGAGAGCAACGTTTGGGGGTGGGCCTAATCCCTTAGGAAAAAAAAATACTTTTAAAAAAAGTACTAGGGAGCTCTGATGGCCTAGTGGCAAGAAGCTGCACTGCAAGCCTAGAGGTATGTGGTTCGAATCCACCAGATGCTCTGCTGGAGAAGGAGGGGCAATCTCCTCCTGTACCAGTCAGATCCAATTTGAAAACGTACACACATGGAAACATCTACATTTCATTTCTGAGGTTCATGGATTCTATGCAATATATCATAAATACTCTCAGGCTGAAATGGTCTGAAATGAGGTCTTGGTGAGGAAGAAAGCATTTAAGAACAACAAAATAGATTTGAAAATAAGGATTGCACACGGCTGAGGAAGGAGTAAGACTGCCTAGGGGCCAGATCAGGAAGGTCCTGAGTGTAATAGTGGAGCCTGATCTGCACCTTGTTCACTGCCACCCAGTTGTTTCTAACTCTTAGTGACCTCATGTGTGCCCTGAGCATGCCACAAGTGAGAGCCTATTCCAGAGTTCTGAGAGGTGAAACAATCAGGTGGAAACACCATCTAAAAGTTACTTTAAAAAGACTGCTGTACTGGCATAATGTAGAGCCATTTTCAGTATGAAAAACAGGGAGATCGTTTAGGTCTCTGGCAATGATCCAGGCTTGTAGTTACCACTTAAAATCCTAGCAAAAGCCTGATTTGGAAACAATGTGCATGGGAGACATTCTAAAGGGAGAGTGGACAGGATTAAACGCTAACTACAGAAACAGAGCAAAGGAGAACCAGGATTTTAAATGTGGGTACCTGAGAAATAAATTCAACAGGGATTAAGTTAACAAAAACCAGGGAAGGCAGAGTGAGAGCTGATTTTAAAGGAAGGTAGAAACAAAAGATAAATATCCAACATCTACAATATTTAAGATAATGTCTTTATGCCCCTATAGCCAATAAACTGCCCAAAACAAAACAAACAAACAAAAACCAAGTCATCCAGTCACTTCTCTTAATAACCCTATAGGACAAAGTAAACTGCCCTACAGTTTCTAAGTCTATATAAATCTTTACAGAAGACTCATCTTTCTTCTGGAGAGAAACTAGCCTGGTGAATTCAAACCACTGATCTTTAGGTTCATAGCTAAATTCTTTAACCACAACACCACATGTGTTCCTCAACCCAAAGGAAACTATTATTCTTACCTCTATCATCATAGACTATTTTGTCTGTTTTCAAGTTTCTTATAAGTGAAATAACACCGTATGAAACTCTTGTATGTGGGGGTTTTAGAATACCACAGAGCACGCAGGAGCAATGATTTAGTAAATTACTACCTCACTTGGGAGGGACTGGAAAGCATTATGCTAAGAGAACTAACTCAGTCCCATAAGGACAAATATTGTATAAAACCACTATTGTAGAATGAGAATCAGGATCCAAGGGGAGGAGAGGGGGAGCAGTAGGGTGAGTATGGACAGGGGTGGGGGTTAATCATAGGGTTGCATAATTTGATGGATAGAAGGTGGGGTGGGTGAAAGCAAATGGGAAAGATCCAGTGTAAAAAAAACAATGTATGTATGGCTCCCTGGTCCAAGATGGCAGACAAAGCCAACCGATGGGTGTGTCAGAGATTCCTGTCCTGAAGACTAACGCTGGGCCCCGAGATCGCGAATTATGGGTGCAGCGACTAAAGGAGGAATACCAGTCTCTTATACGGTATGTGGTGAACAACAAGGATGTGGACAATGATTGGTTCTGAATGGAATCCAACAAAGAGACTCGGTGGTTTGGAAAATGCTGGTACTTCCATAACCTCCTCAAATAAGAGTTTGACATCAAGTTTGATATTCCTGTCACATATCCCACTACTGCTCCAGATATCGTAGTCCCTGAACTGGATGGAAAGACAGCAAAGATGTATAGGGGTGGGAAAATATGCCTGACTGATCACTTCAAGCCTTTATGGGGCCAGGAATGTGCCAAAGTTTGGAGTAGCTCATCTCATGGCTCTTGAGCTAGGTCCATGGCTGGCAGTAGAAATCCCAGATCTGATTCAGAAAGGTGTGATCCAGCACAAAGAGAAACTGCAATTAATGAAGGATCAAATCACTGAAGAAGAACAGAGGGATCTTTGATAAATAAGGTTTCTTACTCTAACTGCTTCCCCTCCCCCTCTTCCATTCCTACTTGGAATTGCAGCAGGCAATGTTGGGGGAAACCAAAATGGTATTGCTATAGAGTTTGTAAGGTAGGCTACAGAAGAGAATGGAAAAGACTTGGACCTTCAAAAACCAAGAGGCAATTACAAGCCCCTCACCAGGTGGAGCAATGTAAGATTCTGGGGTAACTGAAAGTGGAGACATAGCTTTTTTGGTTTCTGGAGATAACCATTAGTAAAAGCTGTTTTTTCTGGTAAGAAAAGAAAAAAAAAAGAACACCAAACAACAAAAAACAATGTATATGAACTCTATAAATAAACCAGTACTAAAAAAACAAACAAACAAAAATCCCCTTGTTTCTACAAGATTCATAGTTTACGGGTTTTCATTGTTAAGTAGTACTCTATTTTAGGAATATACAAGTTTATCAACTTCATAAACATGAGTCTTTTATTGTTTTAACTATTATACTCTTGTGTACATTACATGGTGTGCAAAAAAAAAATCAGAGGAAAAGCAGGAATGGAAATGGTAGGTCACAAAGTAGACATATTTGTAGCTGTTAATATATACTGCCAACCATTTTTCAAGAGTATTTATACCACTTTACACTTCTATAGCAGTATTCCAATTACTCCACATCTTGAACACCATTTGGTGCTGTTCATTCTTTAACTTTAGCCATTCTGGAAAGTATACATTTTGTATCTCATTTAATGTGCATTTCCCTAATGACCACATGTCTCTATTAGCACCATTTCATATATGAAAAGCTTACGAGCGCGAGGGCGAGGCCGCCAGACCGGGGAACACCGGGGGAACGCACCC